CCTGCGACCTGTGCCGCCGGGCGCTTCAATACACGCTTGGTGACGGCCTGGGCGGATGAAGCCGCCGCCTGCACTGAAGCGCCCACCGACGCATACACATCGCACCACTTTCTCAACACTGAGCGGGACACCAAGACAGCTTTCCGTCGCATACGCAACACGGTATGCAACGTGTGGCACTTCAGCCCTGGATATACAGCGCGCATGTGGTCACCAAGTGCCGCGTTGAGCTTTTCGGCCGTGTCATACTGCAAAGGTCCAGAGTCAGGGTGATACTTCACGTACCATTGCCTCAAAACCATACCGCTGACAGCGACGGGAGGATCGCTCTCCGAGAGAAGCTGCGAGAGGACCTCCGCAGCGGCCTCGTCGGCGAAGCTCTCCCGATACTGATTGAGTCGAAGACGCTCGCCCATACATTCCTCCACAGCTTGGGCAGTGTTCAATGCCCCCTTGGCGCCCCACTCCGTGCTGAGCCACTTCTGGCATACCCTGGCGTTAGCAGATACAGATAAATGTCCCAGGAGCCACTGCTTCAAGACGGCCCCGTCAGTGGTCCCCTCGGGCATGTCTTTGCGAATACGTTCTCCATACCAGGTCTCCAAGTGGCCAGCGTTCTGCACTTGGACAAGCGTGTCTTTGGATGAATACTGCAGTAGCCACGCCGTTGCGACCCTATCTGGCACATACAGTGGTGGATCCAACTGTCGGAGCGCCCGGCATAATTTGAAAGCGGTATTATACTCAATGCCCAGGTGGCGGATGGCAGAGCCGTGCTGCTCCTCCAGCTCCTTGGCGCTAGAAATACTGACCGTGCCAGTCACAACCCGATACTTGGCCCACCAAGTCTTGCACGCCTGGTGACTAGCATTGATACCCTTTGCCCGGAGCGCCTGATGCAAATAATACGCACTCTCGCAGTCGGCCAAGGGAGGCCGCGACAGCTCAGGGCCATACTGCTCGTGAAGGTCTTTCGCCGTCAAAGCCATGATCCAAGAACACAGGCGATACCTTGATCCGAGATGGCTACGGATATGTGCGTCAGCAGTCGGGGGCCTTCCTGGGGCCGCTTGGGGTCCTCTTGGGGAAGGGGGGAAGCCTCCTGGCGCGGTTTGGGGTCCACTTGAGAGCCTTTGGGGGGCTCCTTGGAACCATCTTGGGGCCTCTTGGGGGCTTATTGGACCCTCACGGCGGACTCTTGGGGCCTCTAGAACGCCTCCTGGGGCCATCTTGGGGGTCTCTTGGAGCCACCTTGGAGCCTCTCTGGAACCTCTTGGGGGCCTCTTGGAGTCCTCTTGAAGCCTCTTGGGACCATCTTGGGCGCCTCTTTGGGCCTCATGGACGCCTCTTGGGGCCATCTTGCGCGCCTGTTGGGGCCATCTTGGGTTTTAAAGATTCATCAAGAGACCGCGAATGGATTTCGAGATTTTTCGGATGAGAAAGTAGTGCGTTTTCATATGTTTTCTGAACATCGCATCTTGAAATTATTGAAAACCCATTGTGTTTGGCAGGATTTCGACATGCGCGCGCGGCGGCCGCGCGCATGTGCACTTCGTCTCATTTTTTGCAAGGGATGGTGGCCCTCGCAGGCGCGCAACCGTTGTTGGAGAAGTTCAAAGCACCTGAAGAAGTAGCACGCAAAGACCCTTTTGACAGAAATGTTTAAAAAGTGGTGTGTTTCCTATGAATCCGCAAGAGCGCGCGGAAGGACATTTTGACAATTTTTTCTTAAAAAAACATTGGGTTTTTGATGTTTTTATGTTAAAATCGTTACGAAACCTAAGGTTTTGGAAGGATTTCGTCTTGCGAGCGCGAATGTCCACTTTACCTTATTTTTTGCAAGGGATTCTTGAAATTTGATCAACTAAGAACAAGAATTTTCATTTTCTATTGTTTTTTGCAAGGGAAAACGAGCGTCAACAAAAAACCGGATCCGGGGGTAATCCACTTTTCTGAAGCTTTCGCAGAAAAATGATGAAAATGTAGCTGCGGCCTAGGTTTTGGGCGGGGGGCGTGCACCAGGGGGTCCAACAATAATAATTCTTTAGAAGTAATAGTGTTCAACGACGACGACGACGACAACAACCACGACGACGACGACGACGACGACGACGACGACGACGACGACAACAACAACAACAACAACAACAACAACAACAATAACGACAACGACGACAACAACAACAGCAACAACCACAACAACAACAATAACAACAACAGCAGCAGCAGCAACGACAACAACAGAAACAACAACAACAACAAGAACAACAACAACAACAACAACAACAACAACAGCAGCAGCAACAACAACAACAACAACAACTTCAACAATAACAACAACAGCAACAGCAACAACAACAACAAAAGCAACAACAACAACAACAACAATCATTTTACCCGAACGCGCGGTGTTCTCCCCAGTGCCAGGGTTTTCATACGACACCAGGCAATACCCCCACTTCGTGGGGGGGCATTACAAGCTCTACCAAATATCCAAACGACTCTTCGCGACCACCCAAACCCAGCTTCCCGCCCTATGACGTTGGGACACTTCACTTCGTGGCGTGCGGACGACCGTGGCTACTACACTGGCGTGGGGTACACACCCACAGAACTTGGTCACTTATTCGGGGCGCGCATGTGCCCAGCATGGTGCAATTGTGCCATACAATACATAATACAGAGAGACGAATGTGTCCCGCATGGTATTATTTGACAGGGATGATGGCCCTGGCAGGTGCGCAACCGTTGTCGCAGAAGTTCGAAAAAGTTGCTCGCAAAAGCCCGTTTGACAGAAATGTTTAAAAAGTGTTGGTTTCCTACGAATCCGCAAGAGCGCGCGGGATGAGATTTTGACATTTTTTTGTTGAAAAACCATTGGTTTTTTGATGTTTTTATGTTAAAATCGCTCCGAACACTAAGCTTTTGGAAGGATTTCGTCTTGCGCGCGCGAATGTCCACTTTACCTTATTTTTTGCAAGGGATTCTTGAAATTTGATTATATTAGAACAAGAAATGTCATTTTATAGTGTTTTTTGCAAGGGAAAGCGGGGGGGAACAAAACAACCGGATCTTGATCACATCGAATTACCTGAGGCTTCCTCACGAAAATTATGAAAACGTGGCTGCGGCCTAGGCGCGGCGGGGGGGGCGCGCACCAGGGGGCCCAACAATAATTATTCTTTAGAATTAATAATGTTCAACGACGACGACGACGACGACGACGACGACAACAACAACACAACAAGCAGAATCCTCACCACGGATCCCCACTAGAGCCACGCACCCAGGGACAATGAATGACCGTTCGGCCCCCTCACTCTGATCATGCGCGGCATTCGCAGCCTCACGACGACCCAAAAAAGCTCCCAAGAGCGCTCCAAAACGGCCTGCAAATCGCCAAGAGGGCCCCGGGACAACCCACGAACATCCTAACAAAGCCCTAAGATTCGCAAAGAGGGCCCCCGAAGAGGCCCGAGACGGTCCAAGAAGGCCAGAAGGCAACCCAACAGGGCGCCAGGAGGGCTCCCAAGACGCCAACAGGGCTCGTCGACCTCCAAACGCCAAAATGGCCGCAAGGAGCCCCAAAGACGCCCCGGCAAGCCCGAGAGAGCCCTGGGAAACCCCCAAAACGCCCCCGAAAGCGCCTCACGACAACCCCGAGCACCAAAGCATCGGCCACGCGATGGGATCACAAAAGATCCTCCCTCGGCTACTTCCCCTCCACCTCTTCCTCCTCCTCCTCCTCCTCCTCCTCCTCCTCCTCCTTCTCCTCCTCATCTTCCTCCTCATCCCCATCATGTTTGATCACTCCCTCCCCTCCTCCTCCTCCTCCTCCTCCTCCTCCTCCTCCTCCTCCTCCTCCTCCTCATCCTCCTCCTCTCTCCTCCTTCTCCTCCTCCTCCTCCACCTCCTCCTCCTCCTCCTCCTCATTTTCCTCCTCCTCCTCCTCCTCCTCCTCCTCCCCTCCTCCCTCCTTCTCCTCCTCCTCAGCCATGTTGGATCAAGTCCCTAGCGTATCACTCAGAACTTGACGTTGCGGCAAGGGGGGATTACGGCCCCACAGCTCACAGTAGCATCAGCAGCAAGGCTTCACACTCTATACCGTATCGCCCTTCTCTTCGGTCGGCGCACCCCTTGCTCGCGGATGGTTTCTCGGGGTGCTCGCCCGTGGCGTCAGAAACTGCCACGCCGCTGGGGAGGCACGTACACATATCAGTGGTCCGCGCCGCCGTCTGAGCGTCCTCCTCCCGCCGCGGACCAGGGCTGGTTCACGGCGGCACGGCGCAAACACTTCGTCGCGTGCATCGCCTGCGGCTGCACGAAGAACACCCAGGGCTCCCTCCGCTGCAAGCATTGCGGTTCGCCGCTCCAGAACGGCCAGAAGCCCGAGAAGGACACGGCCGTGGACACGGGCTCCTTCGCCGACGGCGAAGGCAGCGGCAATGGCAAAGGTAAGGGAGCTGCTGCTGCTGCCCCGCCTCCCCTGGAGCCTGGCCCGCTCCCCGCGATTTCGGTGACGAAGGCAACGGAGCTCGCAGCGCTGGCCCAGGCTGCTGGGGACACCGCGGGCGCCCACCGCTACCGCCAGCTTGCGGCGCGGGCGCCCCCGCCACCTGCGGAGCGGGCCCCCTGCGCGACAAGTGGCAGCAGGCCGAGAAGCGCCAGGCCGAGCTGAAGAGCAAGCTGCTGGCGCAGTACACCAAGCTCGAGCGCTGGCGGCTGAGCTGGGCCGTTCTCGTTTCGAGCATCGCGTCCATATCCAAGGAGCTCGAGGAGTAGAGGGCAAAAAATCCACCCCCATAATAACCACCCCGACAAGCGAGGCCGTTTAGCAAACGCACTCGAAGAAGGAATCGAACAGGACAGGGCTGTTGAATAAACGCCAAGGGCCGTTTAGTAAATGCCAGTTGTCCAGTCCGGGTGGTCTTTCCTCCCTTGAAAATACAGACCCACTCCCAGACAGAAGGCCAGGCCAAGGCCTGCGCGCCCTCGTCGAGGGCACGGTGGACCTCACCCAGGTGCTCGCCGTCGACAACCTCCTGGGCACCTCCGCCCGCAACGCACAGCACGACCTCGAGGTGTCCGACAAGGAGCAGCCACGGCAGCCGAGGCACACCGCCGCCAAGAAGATCCGGTCCGCCCTCGCTGCGGTCTTCCAGGGCGCGGTGGACAAGGCCAAGAGCGCCCTGCAGGACCACGGGCGCCACAGGGCCAGGCTCGAGGGCTCGAGGACGCCACCTCCAACGCCGTACCAGGAGGCGCAAACGCTGCGGGCCAGGGATCCGCGAGCTCGGCCCGCGGCGCCCCCGCTGCTGGCGCGGCCGCGCCTGCTGCTGCAACGGCTCCTGCAGATGCTCCTGCCCATAGCAACATCCGCGACAAGCTCAAGGCCGACCTCGAGATCACCAGCGCCCGGGGTCGTCGTTCACGCCGGCCTCCACGCCACGAGCGGCGGGCCCCAGCAGCTCGCCGAGCGGTCCGACGAGGCCGCCCTCTTCTACGCGAACATTAGAGAACGGGGCCCCCGAGCAGAATGCTGGGTGGCCACAGAGGGCAAGAAGCACCAGCTCCTTGCTCTCGTCGAGACCCACATCGGCACCGCCAACGCTTCTCACACCTTCCTGAAGATTGGTAAGGACGACTGGAAACCCTCCAAGTGCGACGCACTCCCGAAGCACCGGTCGGCCAGCGGCACCTCGGGGGGACGTCGCCTGCTCCACGTTCGACGGCCTGCGCAGCTACACCGAGAGCGTGCACGAGGCGGGCCCCTGCTGCGGCTTCGCGCAGATGGCCTGGCACCGCAAGACGGGCAATATCGTGGCCATCACCTACTACGCCGAGCCGCGCGACTCCATCGCGGGGCCCGTCCTGGAGCGCTCCGTCGCGCTCGCTGCTTTCCCCGACATGCTGGCCGACCCATGGCTGGTCACCGGCGACTGGAACACGTCGCCCACCACGCTCGCCGCGTCGGGCTCCCCCGAGGAGTGGAACGGCACCATCCCGGCCCCGGACGTTACGGCCACCTGCGACAAGGGCAGGGGCTCCCTCATCGACCACGCGCTCGTCAGGCACGGCCACGAGGACGCCATCTCCCTGCAACCCGTAAACGACCTACCTTGGGGCCCGCACATCGGCATCGAGGCCCGTGCAGGCGCAGCTGGCGCATGGCGGTATCAGGCCTTGGGCTTGCCCTCCCCCATGCCATGCCCGCCACGGCCCAAGAAGACGGCTGACCCGAGCGGCGAGGCCAGCCGACGCCGGGCCATCCGACCACAACAGCGTCGCCAAGCTCTCGACGGCCCCAAGGGGCGCGGAGTATGCGCCAGCCAGGCAATGTTGGGAGGAGGGACCGAGCGAGCGAGAATCTTGGTCATAACAAATACGCAGACGATCCGAACGGAGAGGGACGAAATACACGTGCAGAAAAAAACAGGCAGCGCTAGATCGGCAGGGTGAGCCCTCGGCTTACTGCCGTGGAAGGCTGGCGCAAGGATAATACGGTAGTACGCTGCAGCACAACCTTGGTACTCCTCCTCATCCTCCTCCTCATCCTCCTCCTCCTCCTCCTCCTCCTCCTCCTCCTCCTCCTCTCCTCCTCTCCTCCTCCCTCCTTCCTCCTCCTCCTCCTCCTCCTCCTCCTCCTCCTCCTCCTCCTCCTCCTCCTCCTCCTCCACTCCTCCCTTCTCCTCCCTCCTCCTCCTCCTTCTCCTCCTCCTCCTCCTTTTCCTCCTCCTTCTCCTGATCACATGTTTCATCATCATCCTCGTCCGCCAGCAGAGCGACGCGAACAGCAAGAATCGATCAGGATCCTCCTCCGACTCACTCCATACCTTTTCGCCCCCACTGATTGCGAGCTTTGCGTGCTCGCTGGGGGCGGCCCGCTGTGACTCCCACCCTGCCGGCTCAACAGAAGGTGGACCAGGAAGGGAGGACAGGGAGACCAAGGAGGGAGAAGAGGAGGAGGGGAGGAGGGGGAGGAGCCATCTACCTTGGTGGAGAAGAGGATGAAGGGAGAAGAAGGAGAAGGAGCAGGAGGAGGAGGAGGAGGAAAACGACGAGAAGGAGGAGGAGCAGTTGGAGGACGAGGAGGGCGACGAGGAGGTGGAGAATGAGGAGGCGCCTCCTCCGCCTCCTCTTCCCGCTGACGCGCAAGCTCCTCGGCCTGCCTCGCGTACTCCTCGGCCTGTCTCGCCTCCTCCTCCTTGGCCCGCCTGGCCTGCTCCTCGACTCTCCTGGCCTCCTCCCTCCTCTCCTCCTCGACCCTCCTGGCCTCCTCCTCGGCCAGCCTCGCCTCCTCCTCGGCCAGCCGCGCCCCTTCCTCCAGGGCGCGCCTGGACTCCTCCTCCGCCCGCCTCACCTCCTCCTCCGCCCGCCTCACCTCCTCCTCGGCGCGCCTCGCCTCCTCCGCGGCCACCTTCGCCTCCTCCTCGGCCCTCCTGCTCTCCTCCTCGTCCCGCATCTGCGCCTTGTGCCTCGCAGCCTCGCGCTTCCTCGCCCACATCTGCCTTCCCGACTCGACCCTCGCCGCGGCGGCCGCCGCGGCCGCCGCCGCGGCCGCCGCCGCGGCAGCGGCCGCGGCCTGCTCGGCCTCCAGGCGCCTGCGCTCCTCCGCCGCCGCGGCCGCGGCGGCCTCCTCCTCCTCCCGGCGCCTCCTCGCCTCCTCCTCCTCGCGCCTCCTCCGGGCCTCCTCCGCCAGGCGGCGCCGCGCGGCCTCCTCCTCTGCCGCCCGGCGCCGCTCCGCCTCCTCCTCCTCCCGCCTCCTCCTGGCCTCCTCCTGGCGCCTTCTCGCCTCCTCCTCCTCCTCCTGGAGCCTCCTGGCCTCCTCCTCCTCCTCACGGCGCCTCCTCGCCTCCTCCTCCTGCTCCTCCTGGCGGCGCCTCGCCGCCTCCTCCTCCTCCCGCCGCCGCTTCGCCTCCTCGAGCTCCTGGAGCCTCAACGCCTCTGCTTCCTCTTCCCGGCGCCGTCTCGCCTCTTCCTCGTCTCGGCGCCTCCTGGCATCTGCTTCCTCCTCCTGGCGCTTCCTCTCCGCTTCTTCCTCAAGACGCCTGAGCCTGGCTTCTTCCTCTTGCTGGCACCGTTGCGCTTCCTCTGCCTCCTCCTGGCGCCTCCTCGCCTCCGCCTCCTCCTGACGCCTCCTGGCCGCTTCCTCCTCTTTTCTGCGCAGCGCTTCCTCGGCTTGCCGACGTTGGGATGCCTCTTCCTCCTCCCGCCGCCTTGCCTCCGCCTCCTCTTGACGTCTCCTGGCTGCTTCCTCCTCCTGGCGCTGTACCTCCTCGGCTTGCCGACGCCGGGCTGCCTCTTCCTCCTCCTCGCGCCTCCTCGCGGCCGCAGCCGCCGCCGCCGCCGCCGCCGCAGCCGCAGCCGCCACCGCAGCCGCCTCCTCCTGACGCCTCCTGGCAGCTGCCTCCTCATGCTCCTTCCTACGCTGTTCCTCCTCGGCTTGCCGACGACGGGATACCTCTTCCTCCTCCTGGCGCCTCCTCGCCTCCGCCTCCTCCTGACGCCTCCTGGCCGCTTCGTCCTCCTCTCTTCTACGCTGGGCCTCTTCTGCTTGACGGCGACGGCTCGCCTCCTCCTCCTCCTGGCGCCTCCTCGCCTCTTCCTGCTCCTGCCTCCTCTTCGCCTCCTCTTGCTCCTGGCGCCGTCTGGCCTCCTGCTCGTCAGCCTCCCGGCGCCTCCTGGATTCCTCCTCTGCGCCTGCCCCCGAGGGCCGGCTGTCTCCGGCAGGCAGCTTCCAGTCCTCGGCGCGGGCCTGAAGGGCCTCGCGATGCGACGTGGCGAGCAGGATCTCCTCCACGAGGTCCATCTGCCCCTGCTCCGCGAGGGCGCCCACCTGGGCGTGCAGCGCCTCCGAGGACGCGTGCGCCTCGCCCAGGAACATGTCGACCATGGGCGCCATCTCCTCCGAGAAGTCGTGCTCCAGCATGGCCTCGAGGTTGCCCATGATGTCCTTGAGGTCGCGGACCTGGCGCTGCACGTCCTCGCTCGACGGCCCGGCCCGCGCTGCGGGCGCCGAGGCAGCCGCCGAGCGGGGCACCGCCGAGGCACGAGGAGCGGGAGCAGCTGGCGGCTGAGGCGCCGCGGCCTTCTTCCTGCCAAGCAGCGGCATGCAGGGCGCCGGCCGATGGGGCCAAAAAAAACTAACAGACGTGCATTAACTCGAGCCCGAGGGGCAGCAGGAAGAGAGAAGGGGGCTGGCGGACACACAGGCAGACGGACGGCCGGACGAGCAGGCAGGCAGACGGGCGCGCAGGACAGAGAGACAGACAGACGGGCAGGCAGAAAGACGGGCAGGCAGGCGACAGACCGACAAACAAACAGACCAATAAACCTACAGACGCACCTGACGGACAAACCGACAGACTGGCAGAGACACAGAGAAAGAGAGAGAGAGAGAGATAAAGAGAGACTAGAACGCGCGAAAGAGAGAGAAAGAGAGAGAGCAAGAGACGAGAGAGACGAGAGACGGGGGAGAGAAAGACAGAGAGCGAGAGAAAAAATGATATATATATATATGTATATATGAATAAAGAGAGAGAGAGAGAGAGAAAGAACAAAAAAAAACACAAAAAAACTATACAAACGAAAAAAAAGAGAGAGAGAGAGGGAAAGAAAGAAAAAGGAAGAGAGGCAGAGAAAGATAAACACATGGAGAGAAAGAGAGAAAGAGAGCAAAGAAAAAGTGAAAGAGAGAGAGAGAGAGAAACAAAAAAAAAACACAAAAATGGATGTGTATATATATATGTGTATATATACATAACTATATATATATTATAACGATTGAGCGAGAGAGTGAGAGAGTGAGAGAGCGAGAGAGCGAGGAAGAAGAGAAGAGAGAGAGAGAGAGAACAAAAAGAGAGAGAGAGGAGAGGACAAAAAAAAAGAAAAAAAAAAAAAAAAAAAAAAAAAAAAAAAAAAAAAAAAAAAAAAAAAAAAAAAAAAAAAAAAAAAACGAGAGTGATGGAGAGAGGGAAAACAATCAAACAAACTCAAAAGGAGTTAGAGAGAGAGGGAGAGAAGACCTGCAGGAAGTCGCGCGCACGAGCCCATCCCCCTCATCCGGACTGTGGGGGATGGGATGCTCCTGTGTGCGGTCGCGTTGCCGGAGCCCCAGCCCCCCCACACACACACCAGACGCGCCTGTGCCCAGGGGACCCCCCCACACACACGGCTCAAGCGTTAAAGCATCTCTCTATCCTCGAGCCTCGATCCTCGATGTCCTCCTCCTCCCCCTCCCCCTCCTCCTCCTCCTCCCCCTCCTCCTCCTCCTCCTCCTCCTCCTCCGCCTCCTCCTCACTTCACAAGGGGAAACTGGCGTGCGTCGCATACAGTGGGCGCCTCATACCGTGGGCGCCTCGTTCCGCAAGTGTGGTTGGAGGAGCGGCCTCGCCCCGCAGTGGCTGTTGCAGCGGCGCCTCGCCGCGCAGAATTCTCCTCGCGGGAAGCATCCACGAAAGGCAGATCGAGAAATCTGCTGCCCCTCCTGGCCATCGCTCGGACGTCCATTCCCTGTGTTTTTTTCGGTTTCGTGCGTGGTGTTTTCCGCTAAATGATCAGGGATGCTCCTCGATGGTCCTCGCACAGAAAAAATGCACACGTCCGAGCGATGCCAAGCCTCAGGAGGGCTATCCCCCAATCGCGCGACTCACGCACGGACGAAGCCAGCGAGAGTCGCGCTCCGCCAGTCGGACAAGAGTAGTTCAATCGCATCGCGATGGGGAGAACCCAATTGAAGGGGCCCTGGGACACACAAATAAATACACACAAATAAACGGATCCCCCATATTTTCTTATATTTTCTGGGTTTCTGTCTTCCCCCCCAATCCCCATATTTTCCCATACTCTCCTGGGAGTGGACGATTAATTGTGTCTGTGTGTGTTTTTTCCCTCCTGACCAATGCAGATCTGGGCGCCGCGCTGCGCGAAGGGGCCAACGCCTTGCATCCTCGAAGGCAAGGCCCTCTTCCTCCTCCTCCTCCTCCTCCTCCTCCTCCTCCTCCCTTTCTGGAGCGCCTCACACGAACGACGAAAAGAAACGGATCTTACGCGAGATGGCATGGCGACCTTTCGCGGTGGCTTACAGACGAGACCTAGGACAGAAGAACATCCTTCAAGAACGTGAGACCCTCCGCTGGCAAGAACACCGCAAACCAAAAGATCACCGAGAGTACTCTCCCCCCGAATGCACAAGGTCATCCCACTAAGACGAAGAACAGTAGGGTACCCTCACGCGCTTTGGCGGGGGGGCATCGCGCGGCGACGCCGCTATCAGCGTTCCGGTCTCGTTCTGCGACTCTCTGGGGGAGGGAGTACCTCTGAGATCCTGCTGTACCCTAGAAATGGAGTTCAATTTGAATCGTCGACTTGCTTGTGTGTTTGATTGCGTCGAGTTGCTTGTTCTCATCGTCGACTTCAACCGTCGATTTTTACTCGTCGATTTGTTTGTGTTCGTCGCCTTCGAATTTCCATAGTATCTAGCCTCCTGGTGCGGGCCGTGTTCCGGGCCTCCAGGGACAGTCAGAAACGGAACAGGGGATGGAAAGAGTCCAAGTCCAAGGGAAGTCCCCCGGAGGATTTCCCGACACGACCTGCAAAAGTTGCGATACCCCTTTAAGGGGGTGTGGTGCCATTTTTCAAACAAAATCGATCGGTGGTGGTCCTGGGGTCCCGGAACTGTCAGAAACGGACCCGGGATGAAAACGACCCCCAGCGAAGTCCCCCAGAGGATTCTTCGACACGGCCTGTAAAAGTTGCGTTACTTTTCCAGGGGGGGTCAAATTTGATTGGCAACAGCAAACGATTTTGCTTTTGTTCGGGCCCCAGAGCCATCACCCATCGATCTGGCTCGAAGCGTGGCACAGGAAGATGGGGTCTGGTGGTCGGGTCGTGAGTGTTCGCGATGTTGGAAATATTCCCATCCCTCCTGCGTTGGTCTCTCGTTTTGAATAGAGCACCTCGGTCGCGACCTTGTTTCCTCCTCCATCGGAGTGGCGTCTTAAGCAGATTCAGATTAGACGTTGCCATCCTTGAGGGGCCGGGAACTGCGAATATGTCGCCACTTTCGGGCGCTGCTGGAGGGCCCAGCGGAATGACGTTTTTCTTAGATCCAGTTAAGACATCGCCATCCCTAGGGGGCTGGGAACTGCGAGAAGGCCGCCACTTTCGAAGGCAGCTGGGGGGGTCAAACGGGATAACGCCCTATGCAATTCAACGAAAATTAGACCTCGCCTTCCCAGGGGGGGGGGGCTTCGAACAGCGAAATTGTCTACATCTGCGAGGGCCGAGAGGGGTCCAGGCGAACGGCGCCTTACGCAGATTCAGATTCAGCCTCGACTGCCCTGGGGGTCTGCGAACTGCAAGACTGTCGACAAGATCGAAGACTGTCGACAAGATCGAAGGAGTGACGCCTCACGCAGACTCAGATTAGACTCGCCTGCCCTGGAGGGCAGCGAACTGCGAATATTTCGCCAATCTCGGGGTTTGCTTGGAGGGGCCAGCGGACTGCCGTTTTACGCAGGTCAAAATGAAACCTCGCCGCCCCAGGGAGGCGGCGAACTGCAAAACTGTCGCCACTTTCGAGAGCTGCTGGGGGGGGGCCAGCGGAATGACGCCTTGCGCAAATCACAATCAAACCTCGCCGTCACGAGCTGCGAAACTGTCGACACTTTCGATGGCTGCTGGGGGGTCCAAGGAGTGACGTCTGGTCTTGCGCAGATCCAGATTCATCCTCTCGACCCGCGGGGGGCTGCAACCTGCGAAGATCTCGCAACTACCGAGGGGCTTAAAACGGGGAGCAATGGAGTGACGTCTTGCGCAGATCATTATAAACCTCGCCATCCAGCGGGGGCTGCGAATTGGGAGTCTGTCGCCAATTTCGAAGGCTGCTGGTGGGGCCAGCATAGTGGGCACCAAGCGCAGATTTTGATTCGAACCCCCACCCTTGGGGGGCTGCGAACTCGAATACGTCGCCACTTTAGAGGGCCGTTGGGGACGCCAGCGTAGTAGGCACCAGGCGCAGATTCGGAGTGGACTTCGCCATCCCTGGGGCGCTGCGAACTGCAAAATATTTCTTTACATTAACGCCTATATAATTAGCCAGCTTTGTGCTGAGAGCTCGGGGGGACCTTCAAAGGGGGGCAGGCGGAGCTGGAGCGACAACCCTACAGAAAATCAAGAGCGACGAGCACACTCAGACACGGCACAGAACATCCGACGCAGCAGCAGGAGCGTCCAGGAAGGTGCCGCGAGCGCGCCTAGAGGGGGAGGTCCCCCCGTGAGGTGTTAGAAGGCGTGGCCGAGCCACCATGGGCCCAAACCTCGAGCGGCGCCTGACCTGGCCACGAGGCCACACAGGGCCCGCAAGAAACTCGGAAACGCATCAGTCCCAAGGGTGATAGCCCCAGGGTGGGAGTGGCGGGGCCGAAACTGCAGCCATATTGGACAGTAAGTGGGGTGACGATTTCGGCGGCTAGAAACATTGTCGATGCTACTGTAAAAGCGTGTGTTGGAAAACGCGTATTTACATCAACGCCTCTATAATTAGCCAGCTTTGTACTGAGAGCTCGGGGGGACCTTCAAAGGGGGGCAGGCGGAGCTGGAGCGACAACCCTACAGAAAATCAAGAGCGACGAGCACACTCAGACACGGCACAGAACATCCGACGCAGCAGCAGGAGCGCCCAGGAAGGTGCCGCGAGCGCGCCTAGAGGGGGAGGTCCCCCCGTGAGGTGTTAGAAGGCGTGGCCGAGCCACCATGGGCCCAAACCTCGAGCGGCGCCTGACCTGGCCACGAGGCCACACAGGGCCCACAAGAAACTCGGAAACGCATCAGTCCCAGCCCCAATACGTCGAGACTGGCACACTTGCCAAAACACCCGCCTTGCAACAGATGAGGGAGGGAGGGAAGGGTGAATCATCTAGTTGTGCTCCAGCCCCCCTGTGAATAAACAACCCCGGTCCGAATGTCGTTCTGATCTTTACTTTGAAGGAAAACGGGTGAGGACAGGGGACACGTCAACCTGCCTCCAGGCACGCACCGACTATATCAAAAGATAAGGCTGATAATAAACACACACACACACACACACGAGAGTGCTGGCCTCTGGCCCGCCAAAAGGGCTGGGCGTTGCAACGCACGCAGATCAATGAAGCAATACTGTCAGGTCC